CCGGCAAAGAAAACCCGGCAGACTTAGTTACGAGAGGACTGAAAGCATCCGAATTGATTAACAACACTCTTTGGTGGGAAGGACCCCCTTTCCTCAAAAAACGTGTTGACAGTTGGCCTCAAACTTTTGAAACATCCCCGGAAGAAAATCTCCTGGAATTCAGAAAGAAGAAAGAGGAAATTCCAAGTTTCTGCTTTAGTACATCTTCCAATGACCTAAGAATTAATCCGGAGAATTATAGTTGCTTTTTAAAATTTTTGAGGACAATAGCATGGATTAGACGTTTTATTTCAAAGATAAGAAAACAATCTACCACTAAGGGACTACTCACATCATCAGAAATTGAAGAAGCAGAAGAGTTTTGGATCAAATTTGAGCAAAGAAAAGCGTACCATTCAGAAATATTGGCCTTAGAAGGTGGAAAAGAAATTGACAAGAATTCTTCCATTCGAAGTTTTGCCCCCTTTTTGGATAATAAAAAAGTTTTAAGAATAGGAGGCAGATTGGAAAATTCGAAATTTGATCTTGAACAAAAACACCCTATCTTACTTCCTAATAAATGTAAATTTACGGAACTGTTGATTAGAAATGAACACGAAGGAATATTTCATGGTGGTGTTTCTGCCACCCTTTCTAAAATTAGAAATCGGTTTTGGATCGCTAGAGGTCNAGAATTGCATAATATGTCGCAAATATTCAGCTCTACCTGCTAAACAAATAACCAGTCCCCTACCTAAAGATCGAGTTTCAGAATCTCCACCATTCTCAGTTTGCGGGGTGGACTTTGCAGGTCCGATATATGCTAAAACATCGAATACTCCTGAAAAAGCCTATATATGTCTGTTTACTTGCGCAGTAACAAGAGCATTACACTTAGAATTAGTTTCAAATCTAAGTACAGAAAAGTTTATATTAGCCTTGCGTAGGTTTATTTCCAGACGAGGAATCGTCCAAACCATGTATAGCGATAATGCAAAAACCTTTAAAAGCGCAAATAAAGAACTTCAACTCATTTTTAACTTGATTCAAGATCCAAAGATTCAAAATTTTATAGCAAATAAAAAGATCAAGTGGAAATTTATCATGGAACGAGCTACATGGTGGGGAGGTTTCTATGAGAGATTAGTGAAATCGGTGAAGGAATGCTTACGCAAGACCCTATCTAAATCTCTTCTTACTTTTGAGGAATTAATAACAATCTTAACAGATATAGAATCAGTGTTAAACCAACGCCCTTTAAGCTTCGTTTATTCTGACTTAAATGAACCCGAACCTTTGACCCCTGCTCATTTTTTGTTGCCCCAGAAGAAAATAGAGCTTCCGTTATATTACACCGGAACTCTTTTTGAACACTCAAATCGTTCTTCTTTAATCAAAAGAAAACTGTTCCAGATGAG